GCCGGGCCCGGGGGCCCGCCGCCGGGCCTGGCCGGCCGGGCGCAACGTACGATTGAGCGCGCGGCCGCGCCCGCTTACTTGAGCGCAGCGCGAGCCTGGCAAGGCTCAGCTTCCGGTTCCGACCCATTTATCCGACGGGTCAAGAAGGGGTCAAGAAGCCTGCGGATGGACGTCTGCTTGAGGTGAACCAATCAAGGGGCGTCTGCGGAAGAGAGCTGCCAGTACTGCCTCTGGTCCCAAAGAAATGGCAGTGCCGGAATGCTGGAAGACTCTAACCCGTCGAGGGTACTCGGGTTCTCTCTTGATGGATCAGGCGGACTGGGAAGCGCCTGTCAGTGTCATGCTAATCAAGCAAGCTTGAGCCCCGGGTAAGCAACTCATGTTTTAAACGTACACGTGATCGGCAGGACCCCCAGAAAAGTGTGGGTCCCTACATGGTTATAAACACGGTTTAAACATGGATAAACACAAAAAACATGGTTTAAACTTTAAACATGTTTTTCGTGTTTAAACATGTTTTAACCGTGTTTTAAACAATGTAACATGTTTGTTTATAATGTTTATTGGCCTCAGAAAATCGTGGCTTCGCCCGATGATATGTACAAACATGTTTTGAAGTTTTAAACATGTTTGTCGATGTTTAGAAAAACCTTGGGGGGGCAGATTTAAAAATCAAGGATGTTTTTGGAAAGCTCGCAACGAGCTCTTCTTGAAAACATAGACGAATATATTGGATTATCCAGGAATCACAAGGAAAAACATTGTTTCACTTCAAAAACATTGGCAGGGTTTAAGACCATAGTTGCCTACCCGGGGCTTGAGCTAGCACTGGTACAAGAAGTTGGTCGAAGCTAATGAGCTAGCACTTTGAAGCGGCGATATGCCGAGCCCGTGAATCTGACATGTTGGCCCAATCAATCGCAATCAATCGATCAAATATTGGAGCAAGAGGCGCAGCGCCTCTACCTCAAGGCCCGGGGAGGACGGGCGCGAGGCCGGTTTCAGCAATGGTTCGGGATTGGGCAGACCAAAAGCAACGAACAGGAGAACAGAGCAGAAGGAAAGTCTCCTTCGAGTGCAGACTGCCCGCTGACCACAACGCCGGCCCGCCATCCGGCCCGCAGAGGACACCTTGGAAGGAGCACCGGCCGATCGAGAGCGTGGAAGATGACGTAGTAACCCCGTAGTGATCTGACGTAGTAAAACGCCGAAGCCGAGTATCAGAGCCTCTTTTGACAGTGTCATGTGGCTTTTGTCTTCTGCTCTATGCCCTGTGACGTTGGATTGTGATCCTTCACCTTGGTTCAAACAAGGGAGTCTTGATTCTAGGGGCCAGCGCTTTCGGCACGAACTGAGTTCTTGGTCGGGTGCCATCCCGTGATTTCGATCACACCAATTCGTCCGAAGCTATTAAGGTACGGGTCGAGCTCAATACAACCCCATCACATTCATCGCAATTTTCCATAGCGGATCCTAAACATAGGACCCATTGCTCAGATTGGCTCAACCAGTGCTAAGAGCGTGAACCTCCTTTCCAACGCTGACGTCATCGTGACCCTCCTGTCATTAGCAAGATGACGTTGCTAATCGCGGAACCTTGACAGAAGTTACAAGTTGGAACCAAGTACTCATAGAGCGGCCTTCAAAATGATCGGAGAAGCACGCTTATTAGGTTCTATTTCTTATTGAAAACCGTCCAACCTGCTTCCCATCAATCAACGGCTTCCATACATCCATAATCTGCTGGGCGACCAGCTTCAAATCTGGCGAACGGAAGCACTGACCTGCGGAAAACTTACACTCTGAGAAAGACTCGCCGGCACCTTTTCAGTTAGACAGCCGTTGCGAGTGGATTTCCGGCCGCCTTTGTGTGTTTTGACAGATTGGAAACCTACTCCGTGCAAAGATGTAAAACATCCGCGACTCGTTCACAGCAAGTCTACCCTCTAAGGCCTGCCAAACCCTGGCTTTCCCACTAATTCCTTGTCTGAAAGATAAGGTTCTGATCTGTCCGGCTAGCTCTAACGCTTTCCTCCGGCCTGGCCGTCTGCAGCAAAACGGACGTCGACAAAGCCAAACCCGCGCGCGCGCCCCGACGTCCGCACAGAGCTCGGAGTCTCGCACCTCGACAAGGTCCGCGTCCTCATTGGCTGCCGCAAGCCACGGCTGTGCCGCTTGTTTTGAGCTCGCCGTCAGCAAGCTGAAGTTGAGCTCCAACGAAATCTGCATCGGCGTGCTTCGCCGTTCCAGGTCAGAAGGAACGGCAGTGCTTTTGCTTTACCCTGCTTGAAAGCCCATTTTGTGGTGACTTCAAGTTGCGCGCGGTCCTTCATGGTGATCCGAAACTCTTAAAGACACCCTTCGAAGTTGAGGCGTCCTCGAGTCAAGGTTCTCCTGAGACAGATCCGGAGCGTCCCCGAAACGAGGAATTATTGTCAAAGTCCTTCATTCGTGTTCACCTCGGCCCAGATTCCGACGTCATCCGCTCTGGACCAAATCCAATGCTCATTTATTCCTGCAGGATTGGTACGGCGCCTGAGCGAGCGATCAACCTCAGTCGACGGGCTAATAGAGGCGCGCGGCCGTGGCCCAGGTCCCGGTGGCGTACGCAAAAGCACGCTGCGCGTCCGAGCCGACTGGTAATACCGGATCGACCATCCCCCTCCATCCCCCGCAGCAGAACGAGATCACAAGGCGGGCGTGGTACAAACGGAGAGCTGACGTGGCAGCTGCTAGGACATACCGAGTACGATTCTGGGGGCAATACCGGTACGGTTCTGAACAATTTCGACAAGACGGTCTGAGTTTGATTTGAAAACGATCAAGGAAATGAAAATTGATTTCGAGAGGTGTAAACCGGCAGTCAAAAGCACAAGGGCCGGTCGTATTGGTAAATCATCCCGGAGGTTGCTAGTGACGTCACTCCTTGTATCTTCGGTGTGCTTCCTGCCCTCTCATTTCCAATTCAAATTGTTTCTCGACTTAGAGTGTTGCTGCTTCGTACCAGGATAGCTCGATCCGGATGCAAGAGCCTCTTTTCTGGCTTAGCTGGGCTTCGAGCATTGTGAAATTGCTTACTAGAATAGTAGAGCGAGAACGCACTTATAATGGTGACAAGTTGAAAGATCCTTGCAAGTCGACTTTGTCCTTTTGACTCTTTTGAAGCGTCCGATTTGGGTTACAACCCCATGTCATTGAGAAGCTGTGAGGTCGCCAAAGTATTGAACCCGGCCAAGCTAGTCTCCCACATTCTGATGCCGGCACGTACTCTTTTGATAACCAACAGGAACTCGGACGTTGAAACACTAGCAGCTTCCACCCCCTCGAAGCTGTCGTCCGAACCCCTTTTGACGTCCCGGCCATCTCGCAGCGACCTTACACAACGCGTGGAAGCAGCATGACAGGAGCCGCTGAAGACAGGCGAGCCTATAGGCCGCAAAGGTCGCTGTGCACAGCGTAAGACTCGCAAGTGGCCCGGCAAGTAATGCCACGTTGCTCCAGCAGACCGCGAATGTGTGGCGAAGCTGAAGGTGGGCGGCGCTCCTTACGTGCTTTGCTCATCAATTTGCAAAGCTCCCTCCTTGGAAGTATTCTCCATCAACGGCTATTGACTTTGCTGCAATCGCACTTTGAGTTGAGCCCAGAACTGCCGATACGTTTGGTCGCAACATGATCCGGCACTCCGTAAACCTCTAGTGACAAAGACATCCACAAAAACGGGAGTTCGCTTCCAAGAGACGGGTGAAACAGGGAGTTCCGCATCAGAGACTGAGTCTCTTCTTGCTTACTCTCCCCGCTTTCACTCGCACTTGCTCTTGTCTCGGTTCACCTAGTCCAGAAACAAATATATGCAGTCAGCTCAAGCGCTCACGGTTTCCTTTTGTTTGTCATCTTATCAGGTCGCTCTCCGTTCCTGTTTCGCCCATTCTACAGCGGACTCACACTGCGGAGCTTCGTGCCAATTGAGATGCAGGTCGGGGCTATATCAGGACAGTTGGTGAATACGTTGCGGCCTCTCTTTTGGTTTAGACTGGTTGCTTTTGTAGCGGTAATCAGGCCGACACTAGGCTGATTTTAGGCTAGCATCAGGCACGAAGTTTTAGGCCAGAACCCAAACATCTAGGCATGTACAAAGATTATCATGTAGACATCCTAACACCAACCTAAGGTCAGCCTAAGGTCTGCCTGACCCCTGCCAAACGATCTGCGTGTCTTCTTCCGAGCACGTTTCCGGTCCATTCGGCATGCCTAAAGCATGCCTAATGTTTGCATAACCCGGCCTAAAACCTGCCGACCCCCAATAGGTCTTATGGCAGGGTTTAGGCAGGGTTTAGGCAAAGTGCTTTCTCACAGTGCAGTTAATCTTAAACAGAGGGACTTGCAGTGTTGCCTCTGTGATTTGTGGCGGATCGACGTCCGAACCTGGTCCGGGTGCTCTTAGATCACAAGACGGTTATGCTGTGCGGCCGCTTTCCTCGGCTAACTGCGTAGCTCACAGTCCGGGCGCCCCGGCATTGCCGGCCCGCATGTAGCTTCTTCGGATCGATATTGCGTCTCCGCGGCGCGTATCGGGCAGCACCAAGCCCAGCTGACAATGGTCGCCCAGCGAATTAAGAAGCGGGCTCTGCCTGGAGCATGATACCAGCAACGAGAGTGCGGGGCTATAGCTGCATAAGACGGCGCGCCAGGCGGAAAAGGAATTGGGCGGCCATGAGAAGTATATACTGTATCCTATATATACGAAAATATACCATTTAGGGGCCCGTGTTGTCACGATCACTCGCAATGTTGACACTGACGCGCGACAACGCATCTGCCGGCCAGGCTATAGGAGTAGTCTTCATCTCCTACCGTAGATGATGATATCCAAACGTTGACTAGCTAGCTTCACGATAGTGCAGATGCAATAAGAGATTGGTTTCTTGGTCCGTAGGTTCTCAGGTTGTCGAAGAGTTATTGTTGCTGTAGAAACATGTTCTTGCGAACAGCACTAACACTGCTATGTACCCGCACTCCGCCCCATGGGGCTATAAGAGAAGTGTCCATCTGTGAGTCCGATCGACTCGATCCGCGTGACGGTGGCGCAAATTCATTCAATGATTTGACCATGCCGTCGCGGCGGCCAACAACAAAATCTTGAACGCCGAACAAATTGCTATACAGCACCAGTGATATCGACTCGAATCACCGATCGATCCTGATGATTTGGTCGACCTAGTACACAAGCCTTGAAGCATGCAGTATAAGGCGTCTCGCATGAGTGCAGTTACTGTATCATGTATATGAATGTATCATGCGGCACCCAATGGTATAGTACGTCATGCATATATTTCACGTACGGATCGAGTCACATGGTCACTGATGAATTGCCAGTTCTCAGTATATTGGTAAACGAGCTAGTCAATTGAATGCGAAAATGCAAAGTACGAACTTCGATCGGACTCACTGACGCGTCAATTGCCTCGCCTCTACTTAATTGTGCTACTAGAAATTTGACATCGGGCCGACTCGTCGAACAATAGCCCACACTGACATTTCAATCAAAGATCGCCGGGGCCAGCACGGCATGCCAGATTCAATTACACGATGTACTAAATTGGTCAACCAGTATCAAAGATACGCCAATTAATATGAGGTGAAAGGGTGCGACAAAGAACAGAGCAACGTGGGCTCAACCGACGGCCGGGCAAGTGCACAACGACAATACAGATTAGTGCTGCACGACATCAGGATAATTGTATGCACCAGGTCGGAGCAAGAAATTTGATTTGCGATACGTGGCAGTTCAGGACGAAAGAAATAGAGGAACCTTCAACTAAAACAATATCGATAACAAATCCTTTGTTCATTGCGATCCGCTCCTCGACACTAGCCATCCAAGGTGTCGGAGTTTTATTACGTGGCCTTATCCTCTCCATCAAGCAACCTGGCGGAGGTAGGGCGGGGTTAGAAGCTACTCAACAACGCTATGATGGGCAGGAGGTTTGTGACGCGACACACTCCCCCGATGAGCAGCACGTTCCTTTGTCGGCGGGGCTATACACCCCGTTGTTGGCACCGTTCCAATTGTTGCAGTTTGGACACACCTGCTTGCCGTTACTGTTGAAGGGCGCGCTCGTGCATTTCCCTGCAAGGACAAGTATCTGTTACGGATCGTGTTGGATCGGGACAATAAGCAGAAATTCTGGTGATCACTTTCAGAAAAGCCAAGGTCCAGAATGTCATGTTATGAGTGATGGAGCACCACCAACTGACGTATTCAAACCCAAGCGAGTATTTGCACTGCAACATTCTGAACGGGAATGCTTGGGACATGGGTGGCTGCCTGAAGCTTGGCGCTTGACGTGAGCAACTACAACTCGGTCCGCGAGCGAACAAAGGCTCTCGGACTATCAAGGGAAATTGGCAGATCCCCGATACGAAAAGACGGTGCTGGGAACTTAGATCCAGGGTGTACAAAGGGTCAGTCAAGATACAATTAACTGCGTCCCAACCGCCACATCATCGCCCGTATTCAACGGCAGGTCAGTAGCCAATCTCAAGAAGACATTCCAATCAGATGGAGGCCCACGACACGACTCACCCAGTCTGCCGGAGTAATCTTCCGTGCAGCAGTAGCCGACGGGACAGAAACTAGAACCCTGGCAGGTGCAGGCAGCACTGCTCGCCGCGCACTGCCCGTTTGGGCAGCACACCTTCTTGTTGGCCGGGCAGCTGATCCCGTTTCTGAAGTCGTTACAGTTCGGGCATTCTTGGGTGCCGTTGCTGAAGAAGCCCGTGGCCGAGCAGTGTCCTGGACAAGAAAGTCAATGGGAGCGGCGTGAGCATTCAATGATTCATAAGCAGCCCTAGGGTGCTGGTTCCTATGCGGAGGCAGTTCCTCCGAGTCCTACCCTCAAGAGAGGGAGTGCAGGAAAAAACCAACCCAAGATCATTCCAAATGCAAACCGAGTGGCCGGAACTGGCGGGCTTACGACAAAGAAGGGTCGAAAAACTCGGCTCTTCTCCTCACGACGCCTTGACAGAGCTCGTCAACCTTTCCCTTAAACGTCTATGGAAAAATAAAGTCACCGTTGAAGAGAGCATTACCGCGCACCGTCGATCTGAAGCAAGGGGCACGAGGCAGTAGCCGCTATTCGATATGTCACTGACCAAGATTTTCCAATTCCACAAAAGCACTACTAGAGCTGCGCGGCCTGTTGCCATGCCTCACACTACGCTTTGCCAGAGAATCGATGCCCCACCAGGTTCTGCATGCCTGCCGCCAGTCTGCATCACGTCCTAAAAGCGTTGTGCCATTAAGCTGAGGTCACCATGATATCGGTATGTGTGTATTCAAAAAATCGAAACTCCAAGTTGGACAGTGGTCATGGCTCACCAATGGAGTTGTAATTGTAGTCGTAGACCGTGCAACAACCCGACGGGCAGTAGTACTGGCTGTAGTAACAGGGGCAGGCCGCCACATCATCGACACACGCTCCAGTTACGCTACAACAACTCCTCTTGGCGGCCGGGCAGGAGATCCCATTGTAATAGTAACAGTCTGGACAAACCTGCGCACCGCTGCTGTCGAAGGGCGAGTCTGTGCAATGACCTGCAGGAGCGGAAGGTGGCTCAGCCCGGGTCTTCCGTTAATCAAGACCACTTTGGGGAATGAAGCTCGCATTCAGCGTCACGGAAGCTCGTGATTGGGCCAAGTTTGGGCCTGAAGCGCGTGATGCCAGTGCCGGTCGAGTGCTTGAGGGCGTCATATGTAAAGTCCTGACACCGTTTGTTCATAACATGAACGCAATAGAACGAAAACCCGACATCAACGAGCTATTGCAACCTGGGAGGAAAAGCTTATAAAAGCATCTGGTAGGAGATTTTCTTGAAGACAAGGGCAGTAAGTTCTGGGAACCAGACAAGAGCGACAATTGCGTCATCGTCGAACCCTGCACCTTGAACCTATGTGTACGGCAAGCCGACCTCAGATCATTTGATGGCAAAGATCAGACACGCAAGAATTGGTCATAGACTTGATCTTCAAGAATGAGCCTAACCGTGCCAACGCTTACCGGTTATAACCTTGCCGTAATCTCCAGTACAACAATACCCAGATGGACATTCTGTGTGGGATTGGCAGCTGCATGCGCTCTCGTTTGCGGCGCACCGTCTGTCCGGTGCCGCAGCAGAAAGGCTTGTCGTCGGGGCAAGAGAGGCCGTAAAAATCATGACAATTAGCACAGGCCTGGGTGCCGTTCGAAAGGAATGGCGTGTCGGTGCACGTACCTGCCCAAGAACGAGAAACAATCTGGTGGCAACTATCCATTTAGAGAGCATCTACCGTGAATTGATCAGTCTTGTACACAAACTGCAAGCACAACAATGTTCTGAGGCTCTTGCAATTGCTTTCGTCATCCCTCACTTTCCTAACGGATGACTGCAAAAGTGAAAGATCCAGAACCTGCTAAGACTGCTCTTGAAGCTGCAACAGTAACCCGAGGAGAAAAGCCGCTGCGGATTCAGCAGATCATGTTCCTGAAACACGTACACGTCGTGCTGCTAGCAAGCAAGCTCGTTGTCTGTCTCATGGAGATTTGAGTCACTGACCTTCGATTTGCGAATGAAATTCGGTGCAACAGTATCCGTGGGGAGATAATTCGAGGAGTATTCACAGGGGCAGTCATTGGTCGATGCTTTACACGCTCCGTTGCCGCAGCACACTCCTAACTCAGGAGGGCATGTCGGTCCGTTGAAATGAAGGCAACTTCTGCAAACTTGGGTACCATTGGACAGTACTGGCACGTTTGTGCAAACGCCTGAAAAGGTGTGAAAACGTTTTCAAGAAAGAGAAAGAGAGTACAAGAAAGAGAGTACTTCGATGCTCTTCATTTAAGCCCTTGTGATACAACGAAGGGTAGGAGAACTCAAAATGACCACAGCAATGAGAAGAGCGATTGTCAATAATTGAAAGCGGAACACCGAAAGGTCTGATGCATCTAAGCTCGGTGAATCTTACTCAGAACCAAGTCAGTAGGTCTTGAATCTAGGCCTGGGTAGTATTACTGTATCCGCTTGAAGCACAGCTTGCTGCATATGCAGCCGTTGATGAAAAATTGGACATGGTAACCCCGTGTCACAAAGGGGCGGGTGACAAGATACACGTTTGCGAACGGTACGAAATGAACGAGCTGGCAAACGTTAAAAGGAATTACCTAGATATTCCAATACCACTTGGCGCTTCGGTTTTAAAAAGGACACGCACAAAATGAAACGTCACCTTGAAAGTTTTATAATGTTCAGGAAAGGAGTCCTTTTGACGATATCTATAGTGCCCCTGAAAGAGACACTTATCGACTTTGCCGGTACTCTCTTCGGTGCAACAACCTTTGTTCGCTGGGCAATCAGCGGTTGATCTGCACCGCCTCACAGGGGGTGGAGGTGGCGGACGGCGCAGCGGGGGTGGATTTGGCGCGGGGAGAACCAAGGGTGGAGGATTCAATGGAGGCGGTGATGGGGGGTTTTGTTTTGAGATTGGTGGGGGAGGCACGGGGCTCTGAGGTGGCGGAGGACGAAGTGGAGGAGGCGGGCTTTTCTTTGGGGGGCGGTGGTGGTGAAAGTACGGCTTTGGGGGGGGGAGGGGCGCCGCGAGGAGGAGGGTTGAGTGGTGGCGGCGAACTTCTTGTTTGAGGAGGCGGGTTCGCCTTGAGAGGTGGAGGTTGCGAAA